TTCTCCAACCTTGCGCCAAAACGAGCAGGATGCGGTTAAGCGCGAAAGAAGAACAAGTCAAACAGGGGCAAAGGCCTATGGGACTCACCCTCGGCTTTCTCTTTCAAGCGCTGGACCTTGACCCGTGAGGCCTCGGCCGCCTTGGAAGCCTCCTTCTCCAGCTCTGTACCACACTGAGGAGTTAGGGGCCGAGTGCGGGAAAAAACAAGCAAAATAAAGGGAACGGAACTCACCTTCGTACTTCCCCTTCCAGGCCAAGGCGTCGACCCGGGAGGCCTCGGCCGCTTTGAGGGCCTCGTCAGCCCGGGATGAGAGGATGTCCCGCTCGCCGGCAGCCCGGGTCAGCCCCTCCTCCAGCTCCTTGACTTGCGCCGCCAAAGGGGCGGCCTGCTCCCGAGCCGTGACCGCCTCGGCCTTCATATCTGCACAGCGAAGGCGGAGGTCCTCCACCTTCGCGCTCCGCGCCGACAGGAGCCTGTTGGCGTTGGCGAGCAGGACCTTCTGCTGCCCGAGCTGGTCCCAGACGTCCCTCTCCTGACGAAGGAACAACGACTTCCAGAGAGACCGGGCCTCGAGCTCCTGGATAGGTAGAACAGAGGTCATGCATTGCGAAAAGACTCAGAACAAGACGACACCGCACGAGAAAAGAAGACGCGTACCTGGGCGACACCGGGCAGATCATCATCCATGACGGACAGCGCCGTTCGCAGCGACTGCACCGCCAGCCGGCGATATTGCTCGAAGGAGCTCCAGCGCCCCCCCTCGACCGTATCCTCGAGGGCGAATAGAGGCTCCCCCTCCGGGTCGTCCCGGCTCAACCACGATACACGCGGGTGATTCTACTCGCGGGGCTCGGGTCGCACCCGCGCGAGGGCCGAGTCTCCCTCGCCAGAAGCCGGAACTGGCTGCTCGGCGGTGTTGGCCGCCTCGGCATCCACCGCCTCCTTCCCCCGGGAAGTATTCGCGGGAGAGGTCGCATGAACCTCCTGGGCGCTCTCCTGCGGCGGCGGCAGGCCTTGGGCCAGGGGCGGCACCAAAGGTCGCCCCACCTCCATCTCCGAATCCCGGTCCGCCGGGCCCGTCGCACTCGCCTCAACCATCTCGGCCTCGGAAGTCCCAGGGGCATCGGCTTTGCTCCCGGCCTCGGCAACTGGGGGCGCCCTGGCCCCATCGGACTCACGGGCCTCGACAACGCGCGGCGTAGGCCCTTCCTCCTCTGTCTGCTCCGTGGCCGCCCTAGGAGCCTCTTCTTGAACGACCGGCCCCTCCAGGTCGGCCCCGGCCGACACCGCACCACGCTGCACGGCGGCTTGCGCCTCTGCCGCCTGTAGAGCAGTGGTACTGGCGCTCACTTTGAGTACCTTGCGCGGCGCCAAGGCTGGCACCTCCACCCGACGCTTCCGACTGAAGACAAAACACCCACTTGGTCAGCATATGACCATGAAGCAAGCAGGAGACAATGCGAACGTCGCTGAAAAAACACTCATCATGAGCGGGGTTGCAGCCGCTTCGGCACCGCGACTCTCCTCTACAACGGCGGCGGCGGTGGCGGAGGCACGGCCCCGGTATTCATTGGTGCCAGCCGACCCTCCTCGGACTCTGGCACCCCCTCGACCCTCTGCGGGGGCAGTTGCGTTGACCCTCTGCGGGGGCAGTTGCGTTGCCCCCACTGCCGCCTGCTCCACCACCACCGTCGAGCCCACCGGGCTGACGGCACGCTTCCCCAGTGCCCGTAGCTCAGGCGTATTAGCTTCGGACGCGGGGTGAGCGACTGCCGACCCCGGGGCGCCATCTCCTCCCCCTGGAAGCGCCGGGCTGCTCGCCGACGCCCCGATCGCTGTCTCCCCGACATCGAGGAGATGGTTCAGGGGACCTCGCCCCCTCTCGAACCCGTCATCTTCAGAATCCTCCGATAGCGACGGAGACAACTCCACCGGGAGACCGTCCTGCTTTTGACGCCGGCGGCGTTTCTCCAGCGCTTCGTGCTCGAGTATCTTCTTGTTACGCCTTGCCTCCTTGGCATCTTTCTTCTTCTTCTGTGCCTCGGCATGTGCTCGGTTCGCCGCCCGCCGCCTTGCGTCCTCGGGAACGGGTGGCGGGGAGTCTCGCACATCCCTCATTCCCTATAGGAACGGCGAACACAAGTAAGGAAACGGGAAAACGGTGAGGAACGAGGAGGCCTCGGGAGCTGCAGTGGCGCGTGACTTACCAGGGAGAGAGACCCCCCGCGACGGGCGTATGACGATGGGGGTCAGACCACCGCTCTTCAGCTTCCCATCCACCGTCTCCCTCACCCGACGTAGAACCACCTCATCGGAGAGGGCGGCGGCAGACATCCGGATGCCCTCGATCGGCTCATCCGGTCTCATATCAAACAGGCGCCGCCGCCGAGCCATCAGCGGCAGCACCCTCCGGTGGTGGAAGGCCGCTACGACCGCAGCCGTCGTAAGGCAGCGGCCCCGCAGCCTCTCCAGCCCCTCCAGGAGCGGCTGCAGCCTGGGCTGCTCCTCCCTAGGCACGCCATACCTCCACTTCTCCGGACAGTCCTCCACGATCCGCCCGGTGTAGGGGGGAAGTCCGTTGTCGTCGTTGCGGAGGTAAAACCAGCTGGTGTACCAGCGGCGATTGGACTACGCGAGCAGGGCCGGGATGTAAAGGTGCTGCCGATCTTGGCGCACCTGAAGAGTCCCAGCGACCCGAACTCGCATTCACGGGCCGGCAAACACGATAAAACTCCTTGCTCAGCGGAGAAAAAAAACCCTGGAAGAGTAAACCCACTCCTCCATGGCCTCGGGGGCTACACCCGGCGGGTGCGCTCGCACGCACCCACCGGAACCACCAAGTACAAAACACAGTACCGACAGGAGCTGCTGAGCCAAGTCTCGTCAAAACCTCAGGAAAGTGCCCGCACTCCTCCCGAGGCTCGGGGGCTACTGTTGGATACAACAAGAAGGGGTACCCTAGCCAAGAACCGAAAATACTGCTTAAGCCCTGCAAAAATCAAAGCCAAATGACAACCATGAGGTCTCGGCCAATTCTCCGATTCGCCCGAGGCTTACGCCAAGGCCTCGGACGAGAGGCCAAAGCCCTCCTCCCCGCCGAGGCCCTCTCGCCGAGGCCCCGCCCCGCAAGGCCTCGGACGGGATGTCAATTCTCCGATTCGCCCGAGGCTGGGCTCAGCAACAACCTCATCACCTCCACCCCGACCGGCTCCTCTGACAAAACGTCGCGTCCGGATTAATGCGCCCAACTACTCCCGCAACGTCAGCCGCACACTGGCACAGTTCGGGCAGAACGACTGACGGGACAGGGGACCGGGCGCAGCAGGGGTTATCTGCCAATGTGCTCATCACTGTGGCCCCTGCTGACACCCGTACTGCCCCTGTGCTACCTAACCCCTGTGCCAAGGACAAAGCGGCGTGGAAGGTCAAGTCCATGTCCCTGTAGTCTCGGAAACAGCAGGAAAGCCCAACCGCTCGTCCTCCGCCTCGTCCGAGACCCCCCGACAGGGCCTCGGACGTACTTTTCCTTCTCCGCTTCGGCCGAGGCCGGGCTCGACCCGCATCCTCGTCGACTCCGCCTCAGCCGCTCCTCTGGCGAGCTGTCCCATCCGTGTAAGTGCGCCTGGTCACACCTACTACGACAGCCACGATGGGCAGGGTAGAGCAACAGGGGCGATGGGACGGCGGTCAAATCTCCTTTTTTACCATCCCCTACTGACGGTGCAGGGATTACCGTGCCATGCGGACGCCCGCTCCGCACTTTTCCACCTGGACCGGGTACGACGCGGACCATCGAGACCCCCGCACCACACACCGGTCACCTCCGAGGCCTCGGCAAAGCAAGCCTCGGCGCGGTCAGCTACAGCACCCGCTAGGCCTCGGCACTCCACCAAATCAAGAATCCACAAGGCACGGCATGTCTCCTGCCGTGGAGGCCATACTGACTAGACATCAACAAGGACCCCCATGACCTCAACAACCTCAGGCCTGGCCAGCACGACGCGTCAGTCAAGTACCGATCGCCATTCCCAACACCATACTGCTACAAGGCTGAACTGCGGTAGGCTCCATGTGTCGATCACTCATGTACTCCTGGCTCCTTCCTTACGGTTATAAAAGGAAGCAGCCAAGGATAGGATAGGGGGGAAGAAAAATATACGGAAGAACGACGCTCTCACACATGCGCAAACAACACTCTGTAACACACGCTCTCGCAAGCTGCCCGAGAGCAACGTCTCAAGTAGCCCGCGCCGTCCCACGCCGAGACCTGGGACTAGCTCCCTCTCTCACCCAGCTTATAACCCCCTACCACAAGCACATCGGTGCAAGGGAATACAAGATCGATCTCTCAGACTGGACGTAGGGCGCTAATTGCCTGAACCAGTATAAACCTTGTGTCTCTTTGCATCACCATCCGGGATTAGGGGCACGCAGTTCAAATTCACTGGTTGGTTGAGGACCCCCCGGTCCGAAACACCGACAACCGGCGAACTCCTGTAATTCCGACGGCACGTTCGACGATTTGTGGCGGATTTCTCCGATCTGGCGAGTCCTCCACCTCCACCTCCACCACCACCTCATCCCCACTACACCCGATCCACAAGGAAGCTTGGAGCCATGAGTCCCGAAGGCCAACAGCTGATGGCGGAGCTCTAGCGCCTTTTCAAGGAGCAGACGCAGATCTTAGATCGGCGTTTCGCGGATGCCGAGCACTCGGTGGAACAACGCATCATCGAATCGGAGACCCGCCTCGACAGCATCCTCACTGAGTCCGATCGCCGCCAAGACGGTCGCCTGAAGATCATCGAGAAGGTAACGGGCGGCCTGGAAGGGTGGTGCCAGAACGCTGAGGGAGTGCTCGACGATATGCGCCTGAAGGTTCTGAAGCTGAACAAGGCATGGGATCGGTCCGTCGTCGAGCAATCATCTTATGCTCCAGGCCTGATCGCGTATCCACCAGGTGTTGAGTAGATCGACAAGCGCCGATCTGCTGTCGAAATGGCTGCTCGGCCCAGCGGGCACGGCGTCGACACACCTCCACGGGAGAATGAGTTCAGGGTTGTCACCACCCTTACTCATTCCCCGGCCAATGGTACGAACTCACTCCCTCAATTCCATGGTACTGCTTATGATTTGTATACCGCGCGTAACAAACCCCCTGATCCCCATTCCTGGCCGCCTGGTCGCTTACCTAAGTTTCCATTTCCAACCTTCCATGGCGAGAACGTTCGGCTGTGGATTTCTAATGCCGAGGATTACTTTGACATGTACCAAGTTGAGTCCCACCTCTGGCGTAAAATCGCCAAACAACAGTTCAAGGATACTGCCGCTCGGTGGATCCAATCTATAGAACCCCTCCTGAAATCACTTGATTGGCCCACTTTTTGCCGCATGCTGCATGAGCGCTTTGGCCGTGATCAACACCAAATTCTGATCCGTCGCATGTTCCATATTCACCAAGAGTCCACTGTCACCGATTATGTGGAGCGCTTCTCTGAATTGATCGATCAGCTCAAAGCCTATAACCCAAACATTGACATGCTCTACTATACCACTCGTTTTGTTGATGGTTTGCGTGAAGATATTCGTTCTGTTATTGTGGTTCAGCGACCCCAAAATTTGGATACTGCGTATACCTTGGCTCTGTTGCAGGAAGAGGTGGCTGATCCTTCCAAGCGCAAGGACGGTCGGCGTGATCTGGCATCTTATCCTCGGTCGGCATTCAGGAATGCATACCCTCTTCCTCCTCCACCGGGAGTGGGTGATCGCAATTCAAAACCTGATGATGCTGGCTTCACTACACCAGCCAATGCCAAGACGACCGAAGACAAGCTCCGAGCGCTACGCAACTATCGTCGAGCATGAGGCCTCTGCGATAAGTGTGCAGAGAAATGGTCGCGTGACCACAAGTGTGCGGCTACTGTTCGCCTACACGCCATGCAAGAGGTACTGGAACTCTTTGCTCTCACTGAAGCCATTTCTGAACCTGATGATGCATCACCTGCCAAAGAGCAAATGTTCCTTGTAATTTCGCAAGAATCTATTTCTGGAGTTGTTGGTCCTCGCACCATGCAGTTTGCTTGCCTTATTCAGGATATGCCTATAATAGTTCTTGTTGATTCAGGCAGTACTACATCATTTCTTAGTACTCATGTTGCTGATAAGCTGCAGTCTGTTACTTTGAGCCCAGCCAGTTATAAAGTACAGGTCGCAAATGGTGATATCTTACAGTGTTCTGCTATTGCTGAAAATTGTTGTTGGTCTATGGCTGCTCATTCTTTCACTCATTCTCCAAAACTCATGCCATTAAGCTCTTATGATATTGTTGTTGGAATGGATTGGCTCAAGAAATTCAGTCCAATGAGGGTGGATTGGAGGAACAAATGGATGCAAATTCCTATGGGGGCTTCCACTGTTGTGTTGCATGGTTCTCCTGAATTTCAGTCTTCTGACATGGTTTTTCAGCTATTATCAGTTCAGTTGGGGACTCAACCTACTTCTGAGGCATCCCAGTTATCAGCTGATATAGTACAACTCCTGCAGGACTTCCAATCAGTGTGTGATCCACCATCTGAACTTCCTCTAGTCAGGCCATATGACCATACCATTCCGTTGGTTCAAGGGGCTAGACCAGTCAACATCAGGCCATATCGATATCCACCAACACTTAAAGATGAAATAGAAGCCCAAGTCACACAAATGCTTCAGCAAGGTTTAATCTAGCCCAGCAGTTCTTCCTTCTCATCACCAGTGTTGCTGGTGCGAAAGAAAGACGGATCTTGGCGTTTTTGTGTTGACTATCGATACTTGAATGATCTTACAGTCAAGGGCACTTTTCCTATACCTGTTTTTGACCAACTCATGGATGAATTATCTGGTGCTCGCTGGTTTTCTATCTTGGATCTGTTTGCTGGCTATCATCAAGTAAGACTCAAGGAGGGTGAGGAACACAAGACAGCATTCTCCACTCACTCCGGTCACTTTGAGTTTAAGGTCATGGCGTTTGGTCTCACTGGGGCTCCAAACACTTTTCAGCAGGCCATGAATTTGACTTTGGCACCCCTTCTCCGCAAGTGTGTTATAGTATTCTTTGATGACATTTTAGTTTTCAGTCCCACTTATGAGTAGCATTTGATTGATCTCAGGAAGGTGTTTGAGCTTCTGTAGTCAGAGCATTGGCACAACAAATTGTCTAAGTGTCGCTTTGCTCAACAAAAGCTGTCATATCTTGGCCACATTATCAGTTCAGAAGGGATTGCCACTGATCCTGCTAAGGTTGAAGCCATTGTTACATGGCCAACCCCCTCCAATGTGAGTGAACTTCGCAGTTTTCTGGGTTTGGCTGGTTTTTATAGGAAGTTCATCAGACACTTTGCTGTGGTTGCCAAGCCATTAACTAATTTGCTGAAAAAGAGCACCTATTTTGTTTGGACATCTGACCATCAGCTGGCTTTTGATACCTTGAAGCAAGCCATGAGCTCGGCCCTAGTCCTGGCTATTCCAGGCTTTACTAAACCATTTGCGATCGAAACGGATGCATATAACAATGGCGTGGGTGCTGTTCTTCTGCAGCAAGGGCACCCCTTGGCATTCATCAGTAAACCATTGGGTCCGCGTACTCAAGGTCTGTCCACATACGAGAAAGAGTACATGGCCATCTTATTGGCAGTAGAGCAATGGAGATCCTATTTACAGCTTGCTGAGTTCCTCATCTTTACCGATCAGAAAAGCTTGATACACCTCAACGAGCAGCGCCTGAATACTGTTTGGCAGCAGAAAGTTTTTACCAAGCTTCTTGGGTTACAATATCGGATCATCTACAAGAAAGGGGCTGAGAATCGTGTAGCTGATGCTTTATCTCGCCGACCACATGCTCCAGAATCGTGTTTTGCTTTGTCTTCAGCAATTCCACAGTGGTGTGCTGAAATTGTGGCCGGCTACTCTTCAGATCCTCAGGCGCAGCTTTATATAACACAATTGGCTGTTGATCCATCTGCGGTTCCCAATTTCACACTTCAGAATGGGCTTCTACGCTACAAAGATCGCATCTGGCTCGGTAACAACAAGAAAATGCAAGCTCAAGTGATACAGGCACTGCATACATCAGCAGTCGGTGGACATTCTGGTGTTCCGGTTACCTGTCGTCGTGTACGTCAGCTGTTTGCCTGGACCGGACTGAAGTCTGATGTGCATCACTTTGTCACCACTTGTCCTACTTGTCAGCAGTCCAAACCTGATCGGTCTCGCTATCCAGGCCTGCTGCAACCCCTCCCTGTACCGTCCTCTGCATGGCAGTCTATCTCCATGGACTTCGTTGAGGGCCTCCCACAGTCTCATGGGTTCAATTGTATCATGGTCGTTGTGGATCGCTTTTCCAAATTCAGTCATTTTATTGCCCTTAAGCATCCATTTACAGCACTGGGTGTGGCTAAGATTTTTATGCAGCAAGTCTACCGCCTTCACGGTTTACCATCTTCCATCATTTCAGACCGTGATAAAATATTTCTCAGTACTCTATGGCAGGAATTGTTCAAGCTCGCTGATGTCCAGCTGAAGATGAGCTCCGCATACCATCCGCAAACGGATGGACAAACAGAGCGCGTGAATCAATGTATGGAAACTTTCCTTCGCTGCTTTGTTCATGCTACTCCAGTGAAGTGGTTCGAGTGGCTTCATCTTGCTGAGTTTTGGTATAACTCTAGTTGGCACTCTGCACTGGATCGTTCACCATTTGAAGCCCTCTATGGCTATTCTCCTCGATACTTTGGCATTGATGCTATTGATGCATGTCCCTCTGTTGAGCTCACTGAATGGCTGGAAGACAAAATGGTCATGCAAAACTTGATCAAGCAGCATCTTCTACGTGCTCAGCGCCGTATGAAAGAACAAGCCGACAAAAAGAGATCGGAGAGAACTTTTCAGACTGGTGATTGGGTATATCTCAAGCTGCAGTCGTATGTCCAATCCTCTTTGGCCCCTCGTGCAAATCAAAAGTTGTCTTTCAAGTTCTTTGGCCCTTTCCAGATTGCAGCTCGAGTTGGTTCAGTGGCATACCGGCTCATTCTTCCGCCAACTTCCCAGATTCATCCAGTTTTCCATGTGTCACAATTGAAGCAAGCATTACCTGTTAAGCATCAAGTGGCTGAACTTCCATCTTCGCTGACTGGGCTTCAGGTTCCTGAACAGGTCCTTCAGCGCCGTGTTTCTTCCAGAGACTCTTCTGCTGTGGTTTTGCAGGGCCTCATCAAATGGTCTGGACTTCCTCCATCCTTAGCTACATGGGAAGATCTTGAGCCTCTCAAGCAACGGTTCCCAAAAGCTCCTGCTTGGGGTCAAGCAGGTCCTAAAGGGAGGGGGAGTGTCACGGCAGCGCCTACTGCACCTGCACTGCCTGAAGCCGGCCCGTCAGCGGTACCCCGTACGGCAACAGCACAGAGGAAGAGTGAACGTGCCAAGTTTCCAAGTACTCGTCCTACTGGGCCTCAATGGGCTTGATCCCTAGGCACTAGAAGCAGCTGTGCTTCTGGGACAACCCACCGGCAAGCCGGATGTATAAATGAGGAGCTCTGCTCAGAGAGAGGACAACATGTATTGAACCAAAACAAACCCAACTATAATCATTCCTCTGATCTCCAACCCCGTGCTCTGCTTCTTCTTCCCCAAGTCTGTCTTCCTATCTCCTTCCCCAATTCAGTTACCCTAACATAGCCGAAAGGGTATTTTGTGACATGCTGTTCTGTGATAGAGTGACGTTCAATACATTGATCTCAGGACATGCTCAGTGTGGACATGGTGAGCGTGTTTTGCAGATTTTTTATGAGATGCAATTCTCAGGGCTCAGGCCTGATTGTGTGACAGTTGCTAGTCTTCTTGCAGCCTGTGCCTCTGTGGGAGATCTTCAAAAAGGGAAGCAGCTCCATTCATATTCACTGAAAGCAGGTATGTCTTTTGATTACATAACAGAAGGCTCACTCCTCGATCTGTATGTGAAATGTGGTGACATTGAAACAGCACATGATATCTTCAATTTGGGTGATGGGACAAACGTGGTACTATGGAATTTAATGCTTGTGGCATATGGGCAGATTAGTGATCTAGCAAAATCCTTTGAAATCTTTTGTCAGATGCAAGCTACAGGTATACACCCCAACCAATTCACTTACCCGTGCATTTTGAGGACGTGCACTTGCAGCAGGCAAATTGAACTTGGAGAGCAGATTCATTCATTAAGCATAAAAAATAGATTCGAATCTGATATGTATGTTAGTGGTGTCTTGATTGATATGTATTCTAAATACGGCTGTCTCGATAAAGCTCGAAATTTTTTTGAAACGCTTGATAAAAAAGATGTGGTTTCTTGGACCTCAATGGTTGCTGGATATGTTCAGCATGGCTTTTGTGAAGAGGCTCTTGCAACATTCAAAGAAATGCAGGACTATGGAGTTTGGCCAGATAACATAGGACTGGCTAGCGCTGCAAGTGCTTGTGCTGGAATCAAAGCAATGCGCCAGGGCCTGCAGATTCATGCTCGGGTTTATGTCTCTGGTTATGCAGCTGATATTTCAATTTGGAACACGTTGGTAAACCTGTATGCAAGATGTGGAAGAAGTGAAGAAGCTTTCTCTTTGTTTCAGGCAATTGAACACAAGGATGAGATCACATGGAATGGATTGATATCTGGTTTTGGGCAAAGTCGTCTTTATGAACAAGCTCTCATGGTATTCATTTCAGATGGGTCAAGCAGGTGCCAAGTACAATGTGTTCACATTTGTTTCCTCTATTAGCGCTTTAGCTAACCTTGCAGATATAAAACAAGGAAAACAAGTACATGGTAGAGCTGTTAAGACAGGACACACCTCTGAAACTGAAGTTGCCAATGCTTTGATTTCACTATATGGAAAGTGTGGCAGTATTGAAGATGCCAAGATGATCTTTTCTGAAATGTCAGTGAGGAATGAGGTTTCATGGAATACTATCATAACAAGTTGTTCACAGCATGGACATGGACTAGAAGCTTTGGATTTATTTGGTCAGATGAAGCAAGAAGGTCTGAAACCAAATGATGTCACCTTCATAGGTGTGTTAGCTGCTTGCAGTCATGTGGGTTTGGTTGAGGAAGGCCTTAGTTACTTCAAATCCATTTCTAATGTATATGGACTTAATCCAATACCTGACCATTATGCTTGTGTTGTGGATATTCTTGGACGAGCAGGTCAACTTGATCGTGCAAAGAGATTTGTTGATGAAATGCCTATCACTGCTGATGCAATGGTTTGGCGAACACTTCTCAGTGCCTGTAAAGTACACAAGAACATAGAAATTGGGGAGATTGCAGCCAAACATCTCCTGGAGTTAGAGCCCCATGATTCGGCATCGTATGTCCTCCTATCAAATGCATATGCTGTTACTGGGAAGTGGGCCAACAGGGATAAGGTCAGAAAGATGATGAAAGACACAGGAAATAGAAAAGAACAGGTCAAAGCTGGATTGAAGTAAAGAATGCAGTTCATGCGTTCTTTGTTGGTGATCGGTTGCACCCCTTGTCTGATCAGATATACAAGTTTTTGTCTGAGCTAAATGATAGGTTAGCCAAAATAGGATACAAGAAAGAGAACCCTAATCTGTTTCATGAAAAAGAGCAAGAGCAGAAAGACCCTACTGCTTTTGTCCATAGTGAGAAGTTAGCTGTGGCTTTTGGGTTAATGACTTTGCCTCCTTGTATTCCTCTTCGGGTGATTAAGAACCTTAGTGTCTGTGATGACTGCCACAGTTGAATGAAATTTACCTCTGAAGTCACAAGAAGAGAAATTGTATTAAGAGATGTGTACAGATTTCACCATTTTAACAGCGGCAGCTGTTCATGTGGAGATTACTGGTGAATTGGGCTGTAGTAAAGTATCATGTGGAGATTACTGGTGAATTGGGTTGTAGTAAAGTATCTAGAACAATTTTTTGATAGAAAATCCCCCCAATACTATTCCTAATGGTTTCCACGTTAAGATGTCGGACCTACACATATATCTGCTATTGTGACATGTATATATCTGCAAATGGATTCGCCATGGCAAAGCCAGCATGTCTAGACAAACATGTAAAGGGCTTTGGAAGAGTCATTCATATGTGTCACATGAAGTTGGGGTTTTCTATCTTTGTGGGTCTCATGATTGTCTCAACCCATTTGTTTAACCATTATAATTTGTCTTGTCCTAGATGTCACTAACTCTTTGTTACTTGCAACACTTGCTTGTTTCAGGCACCATTCATTCAGAGTCAAGTATCTAAGGTTCACTGTGTTACATGACATCATCTGTAATCATGACATGCATAAATTCCCATTGTGGGCATGGATTAGGATACTTGTCAGACTGCAGAAATGGAGATCAATATGCTGTTTACTGACTCAATCAGGTTCCCTTGAAGTGGTAACATTTACAATTTCTGATTTTTGTACCTTCATGTTTAGAAGTTCTTGTGCTTATTTCAGATTGAAGATAAAGTGCAGACATATTTCCCTTGTTCCAAACAGATCTCGGTGGTGATCTTCTTGAACTGAAGAGCGAAATCCGGGTGTGCTCTGCTCTGATCAATTGGTTGCCGAATATTTCATACATGGATATATGGCTTGCTGCAGTTTGCTCTCCTCGTGTAATTCAGTGTTTTGATGATGCTAAGAGTTTTTTATGGCCATTATCTCGTGGAAAAATAATATTTGGAAGTTAATACAAGGTACTAGATTCTGTGGCTCTTCTCAATTCTCATGGTGAATGTCGATCCATTATTTCTGTGGCACCTGGAACACTAATGTTTTCAGTTTCACTCAAAGATCTGATATGTAACGTCCATAAGAGTACAAAAGTAATGCTGTTTTTTTTCCTCTTGACATTTAATGTGGAGTACCTTACGTAACATCAGTCATGGCTTTCTTTGATTTGTGGAGTGGGTAGTTGTAATGGAGGCATACATGCGTGCTCCATCCAGAGGTATTGTAGTGAGATTATTATGCTATTATCCTATTAATATTACCATTTGCCTTCAAGGTAACAGTATTGTGGTGATAATATAATGCTTGAGAACTGATAGATCTGCTGGGTTGCCCTCGGCTAGCTTCGAGTTGTCTTGCTTACTTTTATTCTTATTGCTTATGCAAGCATTTTTAGCACTATTAGTTGGTCCTTTTAATGTCTGTGTCTTTCCAAAGTAGCCTGAGTCATTAGGATAGGGTCGTGGGAATTCTAGTGGAGATGACAGAGATCCACTTAGAACCTTTCTCGCAGAAATGGAAAAGCTTGTTCACTACTATGGTCCTGAAATCATTATATGTGTCATGCACTTCTAGTGTCTACATCCATATCCAGATCAGAACAGCAAATGTTATTGGTTGGAACTTTGTTTCTTTTCTTGATCAGGTAATTGACTGTGATACCACTATTTGTACTTTAAGGAAGTGTAGGCTACAGATTTAGGTCATTGCTGGAAAGAAAAATCTGATACGCTACCACATCCAGTTTCAAAACCTGCTGTGTCCACTTTTTAGTGCATAATTTTTAAAATTTATTGCTTTTAGCCATCCGAAAAGTGGCTAGGGGAAGCGTAATACGGATTGTGTGGATAAGCCAAACTTCTCTTAAAAATGATAATTTTTTGAAAGACCTGTCAGAAAGGCTTGTTTCTCTTTTGGGTTAATTGGATTGGTGCCATTATAATTCTCGCGTTTCTTAGAAATACCATTACTATTCAGCTTATTGTAAGAGTGTCATTATAATTACACTGGAGTCTGAAAAATGCCATTATGTACGCTTGCCGCAGCGGTTGGCCCACATGCAGGTGTATACAGGGGTTACGTACATTCGTATGGACCGTGTTGCCCCAGATTCTCAGCGCCAGTTTGACTGGATCGACTCAATCGACTGAATCCATCCATTCCCCACCGCCTCCTCTCTCTCTCGCTCGAACCCTAGGCAGTCCGCCTCGGAGGCGACTGCGACCGGCGGCGGCGGCGACCGCGACTACCGAGGGCGGCGGCGTGGACTGCGGCTACTGCTGCTCCTTCCCCGCCCCATCTGCTGAGTGGAGGTGATCGCGACCGGCGGCGGCGGCGACTACTACTCGCGGCGGCGGCGACCGCGACTACCGAGGGCGCTGGCGTCGACTGCGGCTACTGCTGCTCCTTCCCCGCCCCATCTGCTGAGCGAAGATGGCATCCACAGCTGCCAGTTCAAGTGCTGCAGCAATGGACGACAGCATACCGAGGTATTTTTGATCTGGCATGACTTTCCCTCGACGAATAGGCTAGTTATTAGGTTACCCTAGTTGTTACTGCAATTTGTTGTAGAACTCGTTGACTTAGATCTGCTTACTTCCTGCTAGGACCGACCTCTTCTCACTAGAGATTAAAGTTGAAGGTTTCAATACAACAGATGCGTTGGGTAGGAAAGTTTACACCAAAGGTTCGGTGATTAAGTGGAATATCGAGATAGGGTCATTTTCTTTAGACTTGTTGATGGAAAGCTTGCGGAATGAAGTTAAATGGACCTGTAACCAGTCTGCATCTCTGTGGTTCTTTGACAAGAATGTGCAAGATGTCAGATTAGTCAGTGACATTCAGATGATAGATTTGTTTGACATGTATAAGTCTGAAATGTGTTGCTGTTTGTTGGTAGGAGTCTTTGATAATGCTGTTGCTGATGCATTTGAGTATGAGTTGATAGAGCCTTTATGTGTTATTCCACCTGATGATGGAGCAGTCAACCCTTTTGATTTCAATCTTAATGCAAATGCTTGTGCTTCTGCCATTCCAAATACAACTAATGCTTCTACTGCTGCCATTTCAAATGCCCAAGCTTCTACCGATGCCATTCCAAATGCAACTAATGCTTCTACTGCTGCCATTCCAAATGCAAATGCTTCTTCTGTTGCCATTCCAAATGCAAATGCTTTTTCTGCTGCCATTCCAAATGCCCAAGCTTCTACTGATGCCATTCCAAATGCCCAAGCTTCTACTGATGCCAATCCTTGTACTGCCGATGAGTCGAACGTAGAGCCTGATAGGGAGCTAGACATCTTTGACAATGAAGAGGAGTATGTTGGGGTTGATGATGAGCACATCTACATTTCAGTACCACCTACACACCCAGCCAACACTGACAGTGCCCAACCATATGTTGATAATGTTGATCCTGTTGTTGCTGATGGAGGTGCTCCTCTTGAGGTAGAAATTGATAATGCAGATCCCCAGGAAATAAATGTCCTCCACGATCCTGAAAATCCAAAGATTGTCAAGGGACAATTGTTTCCTGACATAGTAACATTCAGGAAAGCTATTCGACATTACGCTGTCAAGAAAGGTTTCGAGTTAGCTAAGTTGCAAACTGACCCAACAAGATTCATTGCACATTATGCTGTCGAAGGTTGCCCATGGAGAATTCATGCATCTAGGATTTTTTATAATAAAACAATACAGGTTGGTGTTGTCCTTTTATTACTGTTTGTAACTTATTCAGTTATACATATGATACTTATCTTAATTTCTTATGTAGATTAAAACATTGCCTGCTGAACATAATTGTCCCACTACCAAGCTGAGGGAGAGAAAGATGGCTAGTCAAGGTTGGTGGCGGACTGGGTCAAGAAGAACCCAAATAAAGGAGCCAAGGATACAAAGGAAAAGCTAGAAGGAGACTATGGCATTAAACTGAAATACTTGAAGGCATGGTGTGGTTTGAAGGTTGCCCTACAATAGGTTCATGGGAAGTACTCATAAAGTTTCCATCTATTGTTCAATTGAAAAGCACAGATAAAATGAGTTCTCCTGGAAGCGTTCTAGAGATAGAGTTAGAAGGGAAGAAGAAGAAGCGCTTCAAGAGGATTTTTGTAGCCCTAAAGCCATATATTGATGGCTTCTTAGCTGGTTGTAGGCCATTTATAGGTGTAGATGCGTCTGCATTGCATGGCAAATATAGAGGGCAGTTGGCATCAGCAACTTCTGTGGATGGGCACAACTGGTTATACCATGTGGCATATGATGTTTTTATTCTAAAACAGAAGACAATTGGAAGTGGTTCATGCAGCAGCTACATAAGCAGTGGATTCACCTATAGGTTTAGTTATATGTACTGATGCTTGTAAAAGACTTGAGAAGGTTGTGGGTGCAGTGTTCCCTGAAGTGGAGTACAGAGAGTGTATGAGGCACATGTACAACAACTTTATGAAGCACTATCAAGGAGATGTGTTTACTGACCATCTATACTCTGCTGCAAGGAGTTACACAGAAGGGCTGTTCAGGTGGCACATGCAGAAGATAGCAGATTTTGCCCCAGATGCCATTGACTTCCTTCAAACAACATCACAATTTGATATGGTATGCAGTGTGGATTTTTTTGAGCTAAGTAAATGTGACTATTTGACCAATAATGTTTCTGAGAGTTTCAATGCTCAGATAAAGAAGTTGAAATGACTTCTGTTGCATGAACTTGTAGATGGGATTAGGGAACTCATAATGGAAAAGAGGTACTTAAGAAGGCAGATTGGTAAGGATATGCAGGATGGTATACTGCCCAATGTCATCAAAGACCTAAACACTATAAGCAAAAACCTCAAAGTTGTGAAGGTTGTAAGAAGTGATGAAGACATAGCTGAAGTAACACTTATAAATGACTGGAACAACCACAAGAGGCACATGGTTGACCTGACATGGTTGACCTGCAAGGTCACTCTTGTTCATGTAGGGAGTGGCAAATCACAGGAAAACCATGCAAATATACCCTGGCATGGATTC